GATGACAAATTTATCTTATCTTTCGATTTCTAGCTATGTTTCAAGATAAGAAAATTGTAGAACGAGCTAAAAACAATTGTTTTAATTATATTTATTATAACTATATTTCAAAATCATTACCGATTATAATTACTCTACTCTATTTTATTAAATATTTCAATTTTATTATTAAAATAATAACTAAAAAAATATTATTCAATGTATTCAAGTCTTGCTACTCAATTAATTACAAATTTTTGTAGTAAGTTGTAATTTGTAATTATTGTTTTCGTTTTCATGTTGTACTTTCATGTTGACGATATTTTTTTGAATAAAATTATTTCGATAATCGATTATTATTTATTATATATTATATAATTTAATTCTATATTAAAATTATTCAATTAGCACTTCACTTGAAACATACATTTCAATATATATCATTTCATCAAAAGCGAACTCTATTCTGCAACATGACAATGTGTTTATTGTAATAACGTTGATAATAATTAAATATTGATCGTAGGAGTTAAAAAAAAAGATTAAAGAGAAAAAAAAATGAAATAGTAATACTCAAAATTGACTTATATTTATCAATAATTAAATTGTGTATATAATTGTGTATTATATATAAGAACGCGAAAGCTTAGATCATTGTTATAATGCAATCTTTCCAATCTTGCAAAATTAATGTTTGTTCTATTATCTCATTCATCGATATCATATCAGAAATAAAAAATGCAAAACAAAAATTAGTAAATTTGTAATAATATATATCCGAAATATGCATAAAGAAAATAATATATATGCATATATTTTTTATAGATATATAACATAATATATTATATATTATATATCTATAAAATTATATCTACAATATTATATATTAATTATAATAATGATTATATTATAATTATTTATATATTATATTATAATTATTTATATATATATTTATATATTATATAATATTTATATATTATAATTATATAATAATATAATAATGATTCGTGATATGATTATTAATATATGATATTTAGTTCGATTATTATTTCTTTCTATATAACAATAAAATAAAGATAAAGATTTGCCAGTTAATTTATTGATTTATGTTCTGTAATTTGAAATTCAAATTGATTCAAATATCATTAACACTTAGATTGTTAAAGTCTAAACTGAATAACTGAATATTGCACAAATAGAGTGCCTAAATTGATTACTCGAAAAACCATTTATTATTGTAGGACTCGTTTATATATAAATAAGCTTGGAGTGAACAAATGGTGGTTTACTTGAACTATTTGTGGCTCACTGTAATTTTGTTTTGATTCTAACTGTATGATTCTGATGTGAATTTTTATTATGATATAATTACATATAATTTTTTATCGATAAAGAAAATATTCGATATATTTAATTCAACATACACTTTGTTCGAGATATATTCTTTTTTTTTTTTACTAAATTCCTTCCGTAATAATACAACAACTTCTATATAGATCTTTAAATACTTTTTCAATTTCGAATCATTTTATAAGACGTGCAAATTTTACTATATTCATTAATTAAATTATTTTTCTTCATTGTAATTGTCATATCTTTAGATGATTTTAAATTTGTTCACAATATTCTTTTAATTCCAGTCTCTCTAACAACATATTGTAGATTGTCATTGCGTTAACTATTTCTAATATTACAGAAATTTTTATTGTTTTTAACATATTTCGTTGTAATTTTAAAATTACATATTCTTAGAAATAACAGAACTGTTATGATAAAATGATGAATTTTTTAAAAATTATTAACATTGTATTAATATAATTTTAATAATTTGACTATTAATAAAATGAAATAATTGTTATATTCTTTTGTTTTTTTTAATGTTTTAATTTTTAATTATCTACATAAAGTATACTTAAATATATCAAGTCTCATCAAAATAATAATTTTATCAATCAAAATGAATTTTAAAATATAAATTTTAAAATAATAAAATAAAAATAATGAGTTTTAAAATATCTTTTCTTCATTTATACATAAAAATTTGACGTTTATTTATTTCAAAAATTTTGATCTTTATTTTGAAAAAATATATTCTTGTTGTTATTTTATTAATATATTTGAAGCATATAATGAACTAATAATGGAAAATTTTATTTTTTATTATAAATAATAATTATGACAGAAAATAAACATCACAATAACATTTTACATAGTTTGAGCTAACATGAATATATTTGTATAATTAATTTTTTTAATTATTTATAATAAAGAATATTTATTCATTTGGTTTTGCACATTATTATATGCATGAGATTTGTCGTGATATTTATTGTCACAATATGAATACTTTTGAAATTGAAATTGCTATTTGTATCGAAATGTTTATAAAGGAATTTTATTTTATTATAATAACACGCAGTTTGTCTTCATTATTTAGATAGATAGAATATAAAAATGAAAATGAAACTAATTTTTTATGATAAGTAAGAAAAATCACTTCTCTCATAAAAGATTATCAATGCGACAAATTGTTATGAAATGTTATGTTTCTCAATCTACTGTGCAACATTAAATAATAGATTTAATACTTTAGGTTAAACATTAGGTTTACGAATATTATTATATATAACTACATATCTCCATGCGTTAATTTAATAGATAAACAAAATCATACATTTTCTTAAAAAACAACTTAGAAAACAACATAATTATTATTAACACTATTAACTTATGAATGAAACTTATAATAAAACTTGAGATATATGTTTATATAAAATTTATAATATTCAACATTATATAACATTACATTTATTCCGTGCATTTTTTACACGTATACTCAATTTTGTTTACATATTTTCCACAAATAATTTTTTTATACTTTATACAAGTATTCCATTTTTTTTTTTACAATATCCGATTTGATAAGTTTTACATTCTCGTAAAGGCTACGAATAATTAATGTTTTGTTAATTTTCCTTTTCTTTGTCGGCAACTTCTTCGACTAATTGAAGAAAAATCCTTTCTTTGATAACTTTGATTCAGTATATGTATTTATTGCTATTAAATCCGAAATATTGAAGAATATTAAAGATTACTTGGCCATCAAAATGATATTGTTTTTATATATATTTCAGCGCCATTTGATTTATTTATCAATTACATCTACTCAAAACTTAGTCTTATTATAGTAATGTATAGTAATATATGATTTATTTCTGGGATGCATTTATTATTATCTTTTAATTTTATAGACATATATTGAAGTAATAATACCATTATTTTTTATTTACTTTTATAAGTGGTAAATATACAGTTTTTTGATTTATAATAGTCTGAGAAATATAATTTCATTTCCTTGTCTTTTCTGTTTTTTACTGATTATAAAAATTCCCTTTTGATTCGGATGCTTCGATTAAACTGGTTGTTTTTATAATTAATTTTTTCGCAAGAGAAGTAGTAAAAAAAATTATCAGTTATTATATATTCTTATCTTGATATAAATATGATTTACTTTTAAACTACAAATTTGCGCCTAAGAATCTTGAATGAATGTTCACGTTTTTTATTCGATAAGGGAAATCATTTATAATATATTTTGAATTTATGTTTATTGCTAATCAAAACTTTATGCCAAATTTATGATTTATTTGATATATTATATTACAATCTGTATCGAGTTTTCATAGAAAAGAATTATTCGTTTACTGAAATATTTTCGTGAGATTTATAACAGAATTGACTTTTGTTTATAAATTTGTTCCATATTTCAGATATCAATGCAAATTTGTTTATATGAACATATAAATTATATATATAAATTAATCTCTAATTTTTCGACTTATTGCAATAAAAGCAAAAAACTTGATGATTTAAATTGTCCAATCACTTTTCAAAACACGACATGCCTCTGTTTTGATACACTATTTTATATGTTCTAACATGTTTTTGCTGATTATCAAATAGAAGACACTGCTTACTCTACCTGTCATTATATTCTTTTTGTGTAATCAGAAGCGATGTCTTTGCAAATTGTATGGATGGTCTATCACTTTTCGCCTATTTCCAATTACTTTCAAATTATTCGATTGATTACAATTTTTGTATCAGATTTATTCAAATTTTGGGACAATCTGAGAATATTTCTGTCGTTCTAGGATTTCAAAATCGGATAATATACGCATCCTTTTTCTTACGAATTTTCTTACGAAAATTCAGACGAAAATTCCGAAAACTTTCCTCTTCACTATCTGTCTAATTTTATTTAATACGAGAATCTTAATTTTATTGTCATTGTTTCTCTGCCTAGTTTTATTTAATACGAGAATTTTAATTTTATTGTCATTTAATTTGTTTTAATCCTCACTTACTATTTTTTGTAATATGTCATATGTCTATTATCATTTCTTCTAAACATGAATAGAAGTCTATTTGTCGAAACTAAACTTAAATTTCACAATAATATTACTCGATACTCGAAATACACTATTTCTTTCTTCTTGAATGCACAGACTAATAATAATTGAAACTTTAGAAGTTAATAGTTTCTAAAATTATTTCACGCTATGTTACAATTCATATTGAGTTTCGTTTTTTCATTTGATCTCTTTTCTGCATCAGGGTTTCCAATAGGATAACATAAACAGTGTCATTCACTTCACATTTTAGATTTCTTAAAGAACTTTTATCATATTTATAATTATTACAATAGTAATGTCTTCATGAGTGAAACAAATTTACTATCATTAATGTTTATTTAATGATAAAATCGACGCATATCTATACAGATAGATATATCACATAAAGGATTTCAAAATTATAAAGCTCTGAAGAAAATAAATTTCGATATATATCTGTTTGTTTGTTAAATGGATAAATACAAATGATAAAAGATAAATGTAAACGATTTCTATAATTTTCCTCATGAAATTCAAAATGATGTATCCCATAAATCTAGTATTAAAAATATTGCAAAGATTTGTTCTTCGGAAGGAAGAGTTAAGAAATTAACAGAACTTAAAGTTATGTGTTACACTCAAGCTGAGAAGACAAAATTTGCAACTATGACAGCAGAAATGTTGAAATTAGAAAAAGAAGTAATATAAATAAGTTTGTAAGCACGAAGAACATTGGAAAGAAATAATGCTTTAACTATTGAAAAGAAACATAATGCTATCGAAGAAAAATAGATAGAGACTCTAAACATATCGCTAAAAATATAAAAAATTGATTAACTCTTTCGTTATGGCAATCCGCTCGACCTGAGGTACTGCGCCGAAGTGTACACATTGTGCATCGGTAATTTTCAGTGTTCGCACTTATGTCTTTTTTGCGCTCTCTTCTATGTATACTTTTTTAAGTGTTATATAACAACTGTTTCATCGTATTATATGAGAAACATGAAAATAAATACATACTCAGTTATTTGCATATTTACAACTTTTGCAATTATTATAAATAAAAATACAAATAGGGTAATTAATATATTAAATTATTAAATTATTAATTCTTAATAATTTAATTGAGAATGGTAAATTTTTTACCATAAAAATATTTCACTATCAAATAGAAAAAACGGAAGAAACTTGTTTCGACGTCCAAAATATATTACGTGTGTTCAAAATATATTTTTAATAAGATTAATACGAATCAATAGAATTAGGAGATATTCTACAGGTACAGTAGAATGCTATTTTGCCGATTATAATCGGTGTTCGTATATACAAGTATGGATACCGATTATAGTCGTAATGAAAGGATTAAGTATAAAACAAAATTCTTGTTTTGAAAGAAGAGGAAAAAATCCGGATTTCAATGAGAATCTATGGATATTTTACAGAATTTTTATGAATTCTTATCATTAATGAATTATAAAATAGAATTATAAAAAGGAATGGTGGGATAATCTTTGCAGAAAATTAGTTAAAAGTATGTCTTAAATTATTTTCAAAAACTAAAGGAATTTGGACAAAATTAAAAATATTTTAAAATAAAAAAATTATTAAAAATACCGTGCAAAACAAAATCAATGAATATTTTTTGTTAAAAATAAATAAATTAAAAAAAATTGAGAACTCTACAAAATTTTATGTTTAAACTATAATATATAAAATATTATTGTGATATTTTCTCTAATAGTTAGTCTCTAATAATATTGTTTACGACAACGAGAAAAAATAACAAAAAATTACGAAAAAATAAAAATAAAAATAAAGATTTATACAAAATTTTTATTTATTGGTTTAGTTTTGTTTTTCATTATATATCAATTATCACAAAAATATATATAAAACAAAAAATTATAGAAAAAGAGACTAACAATAGACTTTGGAATAAAGTATTTAATGAAAATGAAAAAGAAATAATAGTAAGATATTGCTGTTACAATAATAGTATTGTATTTGGTGCATGTAAACTGGGTGCTTGTCGAATGCCCTTCGACAAATGTCGTAAGAAGTGATATACTTCTTGAAGATGTGTAAATGGTTACACGTGCGGAGCGCATGTCTATTAGAGAACAGTCTTTCACACAGTCGTAGGTAATCGTGTCCATCAGAGTATGATGTGATGTTAAAACACAAACTAATTGTAATTGCTGTATTAACTTTTCTAACAAGCAATCATGTTCAACAGTCAGAGCATGATGTGTTCATAACTATCTAATTATCGTATCCGGTTTGAGGCGCAACGGGAATATAATTCGTAGCTTAAAATAAAAAATTTATGCGGCTTAATGACTAAAAAGATATGGAATTCTTAAATGTTGAAAAAAATTGTCAATTTTTTCTTCTTGAATAAAGTTTAATGCAAAAGAAAATTTAATTCTATTATTCGAAAATTCTACTATCCGATTACTTTTGTCTCTCTATTAGTTCGAATACAGGGATCTTTACTGTATATGAAATTAATAATATTAAAGTATAGAAAATTGCTTATGTTTCAGGCCATATGATTATTGAGATTGATATAAGTTGGCTCTTTGCTGATGTTCAACTTTCAAAAAGATAAGAATGTTGGAAATATTCCATGTAGAAATCGCACAGAAGTTGCATAGAGATTAAACCGAATCGATTGTAATGTTACTTTCGACTTAGATTGTTACGATCTATAGTTTAAAATTTAGATCAAATTTACACTAAAAAATATCATTAATAAAAATGTTAAATAACAATCGCTATTATATTTTTCAAGATCATTTTAAAAATTAAAAGAAACAAATAGCACTTATTTAGATGACATTTATACTTGTAAATTATTAAGAATAATTATTTTAGAGTATCGAAAAACTATTTCAGTCATTATATATCACATAATATTATAATTGCAAATAAGAACTTTATATATTAATTATTTCTCAACATAATAACGTATGCTTGAAAGTATGCTTGAAAGTATACTTGAATGTATGCTTGAATGAATATTATAATTTTTTTTTTATTTTTATTTCTAATATACGTCACGAACAAACTGAATCCAGAACAAAGCAACATTATTTTAGCAAAGGGAATTTTTTTAACAGTAATTATATAATACAAATATTGCATATTATATTAAACTAAATTTCAAAATTGTTAATGATATATTTAATAAAATATGAATTTGTTATCTTTTCGTTGAAGAGCTTCGTTATATAAACCATATAATGATATGATACTATCACGAATAATCTCACTTTACAGTTGCCTCACTTTATTCAATGTAAACTTAAAATGTCTAATTATTTATTAATTTAGCTTTATCGAATATATATTACTATTTTTGTTTTCTACGAAATATAATTTAAGTTTTGTAAAAAAAAAAAAAAGAAAAAATCATTAAAAATTATTTCTAATCATTTCCTCGTTCGTAATTGTTATGTACTATCATAATAGAATAAAATTTTTTTTATGTAAAAATTATTTTTTGTATATAAATGAATAATATATATTTATAAAGGTGCTTAATGAAAGGATTTTATTATTTGACAAGCTCTTCGAAGTATTTATTAGAAGAAATATGGAAAGAAATTACTACACACATAAAATTGATCGAAAGACTACTGCATTTAATGTAATCAATAATATATGAAAAACATATTTAATTTAAATAAGTAATTTTGAACATTTAAATAACAAATTTTGATAACAATGATATTTACAAATTTGCGATAATCTTCAAATTAATAATTGCATAAAGTTTACAACAGTAAACGAGTGAATGCAATAATAATATTTTTAATAATTGAATTAGTTTTTGAATATTAAGTACCAATCACAATTTTAACAATTTTCTACAATATGTAAAATTTTTAGTGTCAATATTGATTTCATCTTCTGATGAAAAGCATTGAACAGCTTCTGTTTTTGAATATATTATGGAAAATAAAGATTTTCACTCATCTTATAAATTGTATAAATATTCGTTAGTCAACTGGTTATAGACTTCTATAGAAAATTTCTGGTAGCTGCACATTTTCATTTGTTATGTTCTAAATCTCGATTATCAGTGATAGTGGAAATACTTCTATTGTTTTGTTATCATCTTTTCAACTAGAGAATGTCAAGTTAACGATTTCGAATTTTTCTTGTTTTTTCGAATTGAAACAATTGTAAATAAATTATAGAGAATAAATTAAAGTTTCTACTTACAATTTTTTTATATATAAAATAACCATTTCCTTCATTAAACTGATAAAATATGTTGCAAAAACTGTTTCACATAGAATTTCCTGGATTTATTTTCTTACTATCAATGGTTACGAGAAGCAAAAAATTCTTCAAGCATATGATAAAAAATTTCTCGTTTCTATGATGATGGCATATTTTTGAAAAGTTTTGAAATACCATGTTGAAAAATTTAGGTTATTTAGCATTATCATCATGAAATATGATGTACAGGAAAATCATATGAAATGGAATAAAATGTTAAAAATTATTTTTTCTGATACTGCAAATATCTGTATGTTTTTTTTTTTTAATTGATGCGGCTGATAAAGATTAATAACATAACATTCAATAATTTTTTTAAATGATTTAAAGTAAAAAAATTTGTTAATTTTTTTTTAATAACATTACTTATTAATTTTTCGTTATTTAAATTAAAAAGAAATCTAACTATAATTATTGAAACATTTTGTTTATTCAGAATAGATAAAGAATCATAATATATGTATAACATAATTTATTCATATCATATATAATCGATGATATAAATTATAATAAATAAATTTTTTTATTAAAATTATTATTCTGAATAAAAAAAATATATCTCAACTATATTTATATAAATATAATAGTAAAAAAAAAATTATATATAATTTATACTAATAAAAAATAATTAAATAAAAAATAATAAATAATAATAAATTTATTTTATTCGTTAATTATTGTTTTAAAATTAGTTTTTAAAATAAATTTATTACCACTTGTTTAAAACAATATAAAATTTCATTATAGCTTTTAAAATAATTGAATTAGTGATTTATATAAAAAAAAATAATAAATTTTAAAAATTTAAATATTAGTTAATTAATTCTATAAAAATTAATAAATTTGGAAATTAAATTAAATAAAAATAAATTTAAGTACTAGCAAAAGCGGTAAACTTAATTTATAAATTAATTTATTTCAATAAATTAATATAAAAATATTTTTTAATAATTAAATTTATTAATTTTGAAATTTTGAATTAATTTATAGTTATAAATTAATGGTAGTAAATTAATAGTTATTAATCAATTTAATTAATTAATAAAATACTTTAATTAAAGACTATTATTAGATATCCTATTATAGAGAAATTAAAAAAATTTATTAAATTACTAAATTGTTAAATGTAAATCATTAAAA